GTCGCATAACGCCCCGCTGAACGTCACGTTGCGGTAGCACAGCCACGACAGCCCGCCGCCCACAGCCTGCGCCACCTCGGGGTACTCCATGTCGCTGAGGCACTCACCAAACGCCGGCGGTGACGGCAGTGACGGCGGAGGGGGGCCAACGGGTGCCGCCACCGGGGCGCACACATCGCCGTGCCCTCCACCGGCGCACTCACACTTGCAGTCGCTGAACGCCGTCGTCAGCGCATCGAAGCAGTCGCCGTCCCTCGTGCACTCCCCGCACGCCGCAACATTCGTCACGTTGTTGATGCCATTGCGCTCCATCTCAGCCGCCGTCAACACCTTTCCCGCAACCGTCAGGCACCCAGCGACGAACTTGTAGCCGGCTTCGACGCCCTTCAGCAGGGCCTGCCCCAGACCCGTGGAGCCCATCTTGCAGCCCATCAACGTCACTGCACTGCTGCTGTCAAGCTCCACGGAATTAAAGGGGCTGAACATTATCCCCCCTCTCACGTCGTTGCCGCGCCAATCCAACCAGCTTGACTGTCGGACAGTCCACGGGCGGCGCGCACAAATGCCATGGGACACAGGTCCGCTGTTCCCCACCATGCGCAGGACGCTGTGGTCTGACACATCGCTGAAGTAGTCCCCATACAGGAAGCCACTCCCGGATGTCATTGTATTGTTAAGCAGCGCGAAAACCGAGTGATCACTGACATTCAGCGAATGCGTGCGGACCATGTACTTGTATTTTTCGAAGCTGCAATACCGCACGTACAGCGAGCTGCCATTCACCAGCGACAGATACCCGTGCACCATTACACCAGCCGAGTTATCACCTGACGAACGCGCCTTGACGTTGCTGACCAACAGCGAAGAGGCAGTCAACAGGACCTCCCTCAGCAGAACCACGCTAAAGTCGTTGAATCCCTTCTCCGCCAAATTGACGGAGGAAAGCTGCACCGCGTCAACCTCCGTGACGGCGATGTCGCAACGCTGCGGCAGTGCACCTGAAAAGGCTACGACGGAGGACCTCATCACCGTCTGGCTCACGCGGATCAGCACGCCGGCGGATTCAGCCGCCTCGCCACCCCCGACAAACAGCAGCGCGGCCCCGTCCAGGAATGTGCACCCAGAGAAGGTGATGTTGATGGGGAGATGCAGCGGCATATGAGGGAAGAAAAACTTCACTACTGCACCCTTGCCGATAAACGTCACACCCACGTAGCAGTGGTGCGTCTTCCACATGTCCAGCGTGAGCTCCGTCAGCGTCTGGCCCACCACGCAGCTCGTGTTGTCGTCGACAGCTCTCTCCGGTAAGAGCGGCACAACGATGTCGGGCACCTCGAAGGGAAGGCACGACGCGCCATGCCGTCCGTCTTTGCAGCTGCACGAGCACGAACCGCCGTCCACAGACTCGGTCCCGGGCATGTAGCACGCCGCCTCATCCTTGCACGTGCCGCAGCTGAACCGTACCACCTCCTTCGGAAAACCATCGCCGTACGACGCCTCCCCATCGCCCTGCAGGTTGCACCCCACCAAAAACTGCGCAGGTGAAGTCACCATCACTGTAAATGATAAATCACCACCAACAAATGATTTACTCGCGTCCGCCTGACGGTTGCGTGCAAACACCACAGTAGTGCCGCTGCCCGAGAGCCTAAGGGGTGACCAGGCATTTGCCACAGAAAATACCGAGGCTGTGCTCACGTTGTTGTCCTCCAGACGCAACTGCCCACCACTCTCGAGGTTAAATCTTGTAGACGAGACATACAACAGCGAAGTATAAGACGCATAGGCGCTGCCGACGAAGGTGCAGTCCGCCACTCTCAGCAGCCCCGTGGAGCTCACGGCAAGCTCCAAACGAATATAGAGGCCTTGAACTGCGCTCATCGTGTTGTTCTCGACGTCAAAGTAGCCACCGTTCTTCACACCAAGAGCATGCACATACACGGCGGAACTTTCCTTCGCGCTCTTGTCCGTTACCCTCAGCGTGTTTCCCTTCATCACGACCCCGCCCCCGTCAATGACAAGCTCTCGGGGAAAGTAGACGGCGTAATTACTCGCCTTAATCCGGTTGCCGAGCAGCAGCAGAGTTGAGTTCACCCCAAGAGAAAGCGTCGGGAAGTAAACGGCGTGGTACGGCGTCGCCAAGATCGCACTGCCCGCCAGTAATATCTGGGAGCTCGCACCAAAAAAGCCCTCGAACTCCAGATGCCCCGAAGCGAACAGCGAGGACGTCACGTTCACGTGCACGCGCTCGCCACCCCCCTTGATCGACAGGCCAATAAAGACACACTGCAGCAGCGTAATGTTGAGGGTCTGCTGTGGCGCATTGAAGCTCGACAGGTCGAGCACGATTGCGGCGGTAAAGGTCACATTGACGAAGCACAGTCCACGCACCCCGGGAGTGGGGTCGCCCACGGCCCCCATCCTGCCGCCGTGCACGCAGTGAACCTCCTTGTTCTTCGCATCGGGGAGCGGAAGAGGCCCAAGGCCGCCCGGGACCGCCGCCGGCAGACACGTGTCCCCGTAACCGCCAGCTGTGCACTCGCAGCGACAGTCGCTGAAGCCGCTCGTCCTCGCGGTGAAGCACACGGCGTCCTTGGCACACACGCCGCAGTCCAACGCCGTCACAAAGTGGACACCGAGGTCATCTCTGTAGCTCTTCACAACGGAGCCCCGTTTCTCGTTGCACATGCCGTAGATGGTCTGATTATCATTCCATCGCATCGCCGCCGAGTTTGTCATGTATGCAGATTGCAAGTACGAGCCGTACCCAAAGCTGTTGCGGAGTATCGACCACACACTCCGGTCTCTGACCGACAGGCCGGAGTCTTGAGACACGTAATTAACGTAGGCGACGCGGAAGTCGTTGTCGCGGTGCACCAGCCAGCTGTCGCCACTCACGGTCTGCCTGTTTGCGATGAGCATCGCAAAGCCAAGGCGAAACCTGCTAGACACAAACTGTAGCACGCTGCCACCGCCCACCACAACGTCCTTAAACACACACGCGGCCTCCTGGTAGCTGCTGCTAGGCGCCTCCCACGAGCTGTTCTGCACCGAGAACACGGAGCCGCCGCTGATGCTCAGGTCCGACTCAAGGGAGTACATCACATACAGCTCCGAGGCGGCAGCGCAGTTGTCCATGTAGAAGGAACTTGCCTTGTCCAGCATGAGGCCGTGCTCCACGAGGATCGCAGCGCACGAGCTCCCCTCGCACGCCAGCGTTGTCCGAGTCAGAACGAGCTGCGACGACAGCAGCCGGACGCCGTCGAGCACAAGGACGGGGCCGTATCTGGACTCCTCGTACCCGGCGGTCGTCGGCACATACTGCGACCCGCCAACCGTCGCGTGCAGCGACGAGTCCGCCAGCAGAACCCGCGACTTTGGCGGCAGCGTACCCTGCAGCACTATCGTGCCCTCCGTCAACGTCACGTTCGTCATGTTGACGACGGCGCGGGGCATCAGGTGCACCATATCCTCGTCTAAGCCTACAATCCGCAGCTGCGCGCCGCCGGCAAGTACGCAGTGGCGCAGCGTCACGTTCAGCAGGCCAGCGAATGGGTCCATCGGGCCCAGCTCCACCGTCACGGTGATCGGCCCGCTGAACACCACTGAGTCGAAGCACGCCGTCGCCTGGCCACCCCCAACCGCCATGGACTCCGTCAGCGTCACGCCACGCACACAGCCCTGCGCGCTACTGCCACCACCACCACCGCCGCCGCCGCCCTTCGCGAGCGGCACATCGAACGGCAGGCACGCCGCCCCCAAGCCGCCGGCGCTGCAGTTGCACGCGCAGTCGGAGAAAGAAGCCGTCAGCGCACCGAAGCAGGCCAACGCCAGCGCGCAGCTGTCGCACGGCACCACGTTCACTGAGGGCA